ATTTAAAATTGCCAGAAAATATAAAGTATGCTAATCTTAAATTTTATTTACCTAAAAAAATATCGCTTCTTTTGGGAGGTGACGTGTTTTACGAATTATTAAGGGGAAACCAAATCCAGTTAAGGGGTAATTCTGTCACTTTAATTGAAACAGTTTTCGGATGGATGGTAACAGGTTCTGTTCCCGTCGTGTCTCCAAGTAATTCTCAATGTTATTTTATACAATATGGTGTTGATGAGGGTTTAAGACAATTCTGGGAATTAGAATCAATTGGTGTCCTCCAAAGTGTACACTCAGATGAGGAAGCTAGGGCCATAACACTCTTTAAGAATTCTGTGTGTTATAAGGAGGGGAGGTACGAAGTTGGGTTACCATGGAAGCGCGACTTTAAGGAATTAAGTGATAACTTAGCAGTTGCCAAGAGACGACTAGTAACATTTGAATAGAAAATTTGGGAGATGCTCAGAACTTTATAACGACTACAGAGAGATACTGAATGATTATGAAACTCAGGGTATCATCGAAAAGGTTCCAAATGACAAGGTAGAAAGTGATAAGCCCCTGTTTTATCTACCATTTTCAATGGTTTACAGAGACTCCGTCAGTTCCAAGAAACGAAATCGTTTTTGATGCCAGTGCACATGAACAGGGTGAACTTTCTCTGAATGACTGTTTATACGCTGGACTTAGCCTTAACCCTCTGATATTCAACATGCTTGTCTTCTTCCGTTTGAATGCGGTGGTCGTCTTAGCAGATATCGAGAAGGCGTTTTTGCAGATATCTTTGCATGAAAAGGATCGAAATGCAGTACGATTTCTGTTTCCAAGTAAAAACCCAGGTACAAATGAACATTATGATATCCAGATTTTCAGATTTTGCCATGTTCTGTTTGGTGTCAACGCCAGTCCTTTCTTGCTGTCTGCCACCATTAAAGAACACATCGAAAAGTTTTGAGAGTTGCATCCCGCGACGGTGGAAATGCTTAATAAATGTCTATATGTCGACGATTTTGTTGGAGCTCTCGACAACGTCTCATCTGCCTTTCAAATGTTGTGTGAAGCCAAAGGGATTATGGCTGACGCAGGAATGAATTTATGTAAATGGAGTTCCAACAGCAAAGAACTTACAAATATGGGAAGACAAGGGGTTCAAAATCCATCCCATTCATTCAGAGGCCAGTCCTACTGACAAACTACAAAAGGTTCTCGGTCTTCCGTGAAACGTGCATCAAGACTACATCACTATTGATGTGAAAGATTTACTCAAGTTTAATAAAGAAGAAAGTGTTACAAAAAGAACTGTGTTAAAAACAGTGGGAAAATTGTACAATGTGCTTGGTCTTCTAATGCCGTTTACAATCAGACACAAATGTCTATTCCAAGAACTGTGGCTTAGGAAGTGTTCATGGGATGCAGAACTTCTTCAAACGTATACCCAATGGAAACTTTAGTTATCTGATATTACAAACTTACAAGTCCCTAGGATGATCCTCGACGGTAGCCTAGGTGATGCCAACGAACTTCAAATCCACGTCTTTTCCGATGCCAGCTAAACGGCATACGGAACTGTAGTATACTTATGAGTTTTAATGTTGACAAAATCTTGGTAAACTTAATTGCTTCAAAGAGTCATGTTGCCCCATTAAAGAAACTGACTCATGGGGGCATAGCTCGCAGCCAGACTTGCGAAAGAGGCAGAACAAAATGTAAAATGAAAAGGGACACCTACAGTTCATTTTTGGAGAAACTCCGAGATCACATTGTTCTGGATTAAAGGACCTTATCATAAGTGGAAAGAGTTTGTTTCCAATTGTGTGAAAGAGATTTAGGCTCTTGGCAATCCTGAAGCTTGGTCACACATACCTGGTAAACTAAGTGTGCATAATTACTTTTAATGATAAAATAGAAGCACTGTATGTGTCACATACACGCGACTATGTATGATATATTTTTTTTCTTTTCAGTTATGGCGAATAAAAGTAAAATGCTCGACATGAATGATCCGAAGGATATTGAGATTATCAGAAATATGCTTTTATGTGACAGTGATGACAATGAGGACATTATTTTCGATGAAAGCATTATGGATGAAGAAGAGCGAATTTCAGAAAAAGGTGATTTAGAATCTGAGATAATTGCAGAGAGTAATTCTGAAGAGGCAAATAATGATGATAATTCTTCCGACATGTATATAGCTCATCAAATAAAAAACAGAAAAGTCATCGATTCTTGGACATGGCATAAAAAGAAAAATAAACGAGCACCTCGTAACATATGTGTTCATGTTCCTGGAGTCATCAGTGAAGCTAAATATCTAACAGATATTTTGGATATATGGAAATGCGTCTTTACTGATAGTTTGATAGAAATCATCGCTGAAGATACGAATAAGTTTATTTCTTCTGTGAAGTCTAATTATTCTCGTATAAGGGACAGCAGAGAAACAGATGGAGCAGAAATAAACTCTTTTGGGCTTACTTTACTTAGCTGGTATTTATCATGGTAACAGAGTTCTGGAATCTTGAGGAACTGTGAAAAATGGAGGAATTTAAAGTAGTAATGAACTTGAAGAGATTTTTGTTTTTACTAAGAGCTTTACGCCTTGATGACATAAACACAAGAGCAGAACGAAGAGGAGTCGACCGCTTGGCTCCAATAAGAATCATTTCTGAACAGTTTGTCTCTAATTGCCAGAAGTGCTATTCACTTCGAGAGAATATCACAACCGATGAGAAATTAGAAGGATTTTGAGGAAGATGTGGTTTCATTCAAAACATTCCCAAAAAACCAAACAAATATGGCATAAAAATTTATGCCATGGCAGACGCTCGTATGTTTTTACACATACAATATGGACATTTATGCTGGAGCGCAGGCAGATGGTCTTTTTACGTAAGCAACAAACCACAAGATGTCGTAAAAAGGTTGACAGAACCTATTGATAACACTGGAAGAAATGTAACCACAGACAACTGGTTTTCAAGTTTTGAGTTAGTACGAGAAATAGATGAAAAAATTGTCATTTGTAGGTACTTTGAAAAACAATAAACCTCAAATTCCAATCAGTTCAAGCTGAAGAAAACTCGGGAACCCAATACGAGTCTTTTTGGATTTAGAAAAAAAATGACACTTCTCTTCCATGTACCCAAACACTATAGAAATGTCATATTGATTTCAAATCTTCATGATGACGTAGCAATAGATGAAAATACCCAAGACCAAAAAAAGCCTGAGATTATCACATTTTACAATCGTACCAAAGGAGGTGTGGATACAGTGGATAAACTCTGCGCTTCCTACAATTTTGCCAGGAACACCAGGCGTTGGCCTCTTGTAGTTTTCTTCTCTATGCTGAATATAGCAGCAATCAACAGCTACATAATTCATTCAACGAATAATAGTGAAAAATTGCTTAGAAGGTAATATCTGCGAAAGCTAGGAAATGCTTTTGTGAAGGAAAACGTTGAAAGAAGCCCTAAATCTCTTTAAAGTGAGCTGAAATTTAAATTGTTGAAACGAAAAGCAGAATTAGCTGTTGTTGAAGAAATGACTTCAGGGAAAAAAAGATGCAAACCCTGAAAAAATGACAAGCTCACTAGAATTACGAGGTTCAGCTGTGAGATTTGTTTAAAATTCATTTGTCTGGAACACTGTAAACATATTTGTTCAGACTGCACCAATGCAATGAAGTGACTATGAAATTGATTTGTTATGTAATATTTAATGTGTTTTTTCACTTGCTGATTAAAAACATAAAAGTTCAGTTGAAATATTGGCAGTTTAATTTTGTTTTACTTTCAAGTTAGTTGGTAAGTCTTTAGTCCATTTTATATTGTTTTTTTGCTTTATACTTATTTTATTTTCCTTAATTTAAAGTTAATATTGCTTAACTCAGTTGTACTTATTAACATTTAACTATTTACAAACTAATTTTAATATTTTTGGTCTGGAAAATTTATTTTTTATAATAGCGTATCTAAGAAATACGCACGATCTTTCTTGTTGGTGCTGAAGGCGCGCCCACTGGAAGGTTAAGGACCATACGAGCCCTGATTACATGAAATGTTAAGCAAAATTACTCAAAATCTATATCAGAATACTAAATATAAAACATTTTAAAACATATCTGATCATTATCTTTCAAAACAGTATTAGGAAGCAATAATTTTGTGCCTGAAATTTCAGTATTTTAAAGCACTAGAAAGGATACTCTTGTCTGATGCCACACTGTGATATATATATATACAATGTCTCACAAAAATGATCAGCTAGAGTAAATTTTTTAAGTGATAGGAGAAAAGCTTTGAAATAAAATAATAAAGAATATTGCTCCTTTGAATACATATTTTCTTGGCTTTCTCTATGTACTAAATAAATTTGAAAAAATTAAACAGTAAATTTTAAAAATAACGTTTTAGGCTAAAATGGAAAAGAAGATATCACAAAATTAATCGAATATTTTCATTATCTCCAATTAAAATTGTCTGCAATAACTAAAAATTAAATTTTATGGAATTAGTTTGAAAAAAGAAACCAGGCAAAAATCTAAAAATCATTTGCTTTCACAATTTGAATTTTTTTAGAAATTATTCATCATTTTAATGTTTCCTTGCAATGGCCTGGTCACAAAAGGAAACATCATTAGAAACTTGCAGATTAGCTACTTACTTGCATCAAAAGAAAGGGAAACCTTTAGAAAAATTGCTCATTTATTTAAGTACCATAATTTCGCGCGTATAGTCCGCACACTATCTGTGTTTAAAATGCAAATTTTTGAAGCAGCGGACTATCCACCAGTGCAGATAATACGCTGGTTGTTCACGGTTAAAATCGTCGAAATTTAAAAAACACGCTGTCGTGAACTGCCGATGATCAAATATAAAAAAAGCGCAAGATTCCAAGAAAACATTCGTATGTATCGTATCGATAGTAAACCATAGAGCATAATGCATAACGAATGAGTAGTAGCAAGTAGAGTTCCTAAAATCAAGGCTGGCGCATCAAGCGATGCCGGGATATGAGCCAAAGAAAGTCTTGTATAAGCACTCACTTAGTGCAACCAGAGTGACGTATCCCAGTATCCTTCGCACTGCTTTAGTGCAACTGCTGCCAGGGAGGGGGGGAAAAGTAGTTGATGCGTCAGCTCGGTTTTTAGGTTTTAGAGCCTTAGTAGCAAGTACCTGGAGTACGAAAAAAAAAAAAGCGTGATTTGTTTACTTATACTGTGGCAACACCGAGTGAGTGGGGTCGAAGGTCACATTTCATTACCACTTATCACGAGGATAGCACGTTGCACAGTATTTTGTTTACGTATTTTGTCTTTCATCTTCGATAACGTTGATGAAACATCGCCGCAGTTTTACTACTGAGTTAAACTCAAGGTAGTTGAGAAAGCTGAAAAAGATGGAAATAGAGAAGCGGGCCGTTATTGGTTTAATCCTAGTATCCGGTGCACACGGGGTTTGGCTACTTTTGGCGACTTTATGATGAGCAGTGAAAACGGGACATATACGATGAGTAGTCAACGGGTCATTCAAAGAAAATATATAGTTAAACATAGTATATACTATGTATATGGTATATATACCACGTGTGTATACATATACTATGTGTGTATAGTATATATATAAACGTTCTTTGGATCATTTTTTGGTGCTGGCGATAATTTTCAAAAGTCGTGCCAAGGCTGCACTGTATACTAGGATTTTACCCTGTTATTTTGAAGTGGACGAGAAAGCGGTGAGAAACTGGCGCAAACAAAAGGATGTGTTTAAAAAGCATGGGAATGTTGCCGTATTAAAAAAACGTAATTTTGGACGTATAGTCCGCGGACTAATCTGACTATTTTTGAAATTTTTTTTATATAAAATCGTGTCTGCAGACTATACGTGAGAAATTAGGGTAGTTCTACAGTTTTTGATAATAAGCGTTATAAAAAAATAATCGCAGTCAAAACAAAAGATGACTAGGAAGATCATTCATGTTATCTGATAAAATGAAATGCTTTATTCTAAGGAATATGAATATTCAACAATATAAATAATATATAATATAGGAATATAAATGTTCAAGAATGAGTGCTCCAAAACTTCATGAATTACACAAAATATGTGTAAATCCAGAAATTGTAAGAACAGTAATGCTAGATCTGCAAGCTATCATGGGCAAGTAGCACAAAGAAAAGTGGGGACTTCGACTTGTTTTCATAAAATCAATGAAGCAAAAGACACCAGACTACAGGAAAAAAGTATTTGCTGATGAAAAAAATTCAACATCTTTGGCTCAGATGGAAAAGTACTGGCATGCAGGAAACCCAAAGTAAAATCTTAGAAGAAAAGCTTAGTACGAAGTGTTAAACATAGCAGAGGAGGAGTTATGGTATGGGGATCTATGGCACATTCCAGTGTTGGTAATACAGAGTTTATAGATGTTATTATGGATCAGTATAAGTACCTTGACATTTTGGAGCAAAATTTGGCAGCGTCAACACAAAAACTTAATTTACAAAATAGTCTTAAATTCTATCAGGACAATGATTCAAAGCATACTGTGCACAATGTTAGACTCTGGCTGTTATACAAGTATCCAGAAGTAATTAATGCACCCCCCCAACCTCCAGATCTTAATCCTATTGAACATATTTAGCAGGAACTATAATTGAAAATTTGAAAACGGAGCATATCTTTGCTGTAGCAACTGAAAGCAGTGATTCAAGAGCAGTGGCATAAAATAAGCCCCCAAAAGATTTTGGTTATTTTTGGCTGTTACTAAAAAAGTCAGATTGCTTTCGTGAGAATTATTTTTGAATTTAACTTTCATCTTTTCGAAAATGTAAAAATCACTATAAAAATTTTGAATTTATATATCATCGAAATAAAAGCCTTTTCATTTGTTTTAATTCCGTTTCATAATTTAGTTCAGTTTTAATTCAGTACTATTTCAGTTTCATTCAAAAATTCAAAGTGTCCAATCATTTTTGTTAGCCACTGTATACACATACATGTAAATAACTATATGGAACTATACAGAATATATTCTAAAAAAATTTTACTTCAGTAACCTGAAAGCTTCAATTTTATATTAACTTCCAGATTTAAACTTCAATTTTTGTTATAACAGAAACCACATCTTTATTACTTATTTTTTATAAGGATAAAATTTTTCTAAATCTAAGTATAAGGACTGGGAAGATATTTTGTAATTTTTACTTTTTAAAAAAAAATTAAAAATACATAAACATAATTTGTGACATTTACATTTTCATAATTTAAAAAATACGTATCTACAACCAACAGTTGAGAAAATAAAGGGCTGGGTAAGGACCTTCGTTGATACAATACATATATACAGTGCGATCATAAAAAAAAAAAAAAAAAAAAAAAAAAAAAAAAAAAAATATATATATATATATATATATATATAAATAAATAAATAAAAAATAATCCACAATATACGAGCTCCTAGTGGCCTATCTGCTGAACCAATCCAAATGAAATTTCAGATACTGTTATTTGAAAGAATGTGTTGGAAATCAAGATTTAAAACAAGAGAGGTCTCATGCTTACGAGTACAGTGAAAAATATGTGAAATTTTTAGATGACAACACCCACCTTTTTTCCTGCACAAACTGATCAGTGCACTGAAAAACCACAAATGGCATTGGAATAATGCACATATGACAAAAATTTCCAGCATAAAATATTTGCAAAGATCATCATCATTCCTCATCAGATATCATGAAGATAGCAAGTGGCTGCTGCAGATATTATGTACGAATGAGGCATATTTCTCCTTAACTGGGAAGAACTGCATTCATTGAACTGACAAAAATTCTCAGAAAGTGGCACCAGCGCGATTACATGAAGATAAAGTTATTGTATTGTGCGGCATCGCAAGCACATTCGTTCTCTGTCCGCACTTCTTCGAAGAGGTCTTTTCTACAGGTTTGAGAACGTGCTCAATCACAAGTGTTTGGTACACAATAATGTTGCAGAATTACGCAATTCAGAAATGTCAGAACAAAATTTCATTAATGACATTGTAAAAGATGCAAAATGGTACTCCTCCACATGCATTTACCAAGCGCTGCAACAGTACTTTACCTATAAAGTCTTCTCCTGTAACTTTGCAGTTTAGTGGCCACTGCGATTCCCTGACTTTAATCCGATGGATTTTTGTTTTTGGTGTAATCTAAAATCTAAGGTGTACACATCACAAACATAAGATTTGCCAAGAATTAAAGATGCCATAAAACACAAAGTTATACAGATTCCTCCTGCAATATTATGTTTATTATTGTTGTCAATAACCTCCCACACGCAATGTGTTATTGCCTGCAAACATAGGCACATTGAAAACTTTTAATTCCAATAAAAGTGTTTTTCCTCTCCCCCTCTTGTGTTGTCATAAGTCCTTTACAAGTTCTTTCTTTCAAAATGTTTTAAGCTGGCAAGTGTCATATGTGTATTGTTCAGGGTTGCCACTCAAACAGGAGAATGAAATTCCCCGACCTTTCCAGGTGTGTTTTAAGAAAATTCCGGTCTATCCACATACTGTGCGTTGGCTGTGCAAATTAATTACAATACCACTTGAAAACACAAAACTTGCCAATTACATGTGGCTTACACACAAACACACACACACACACACACATATATACATACCTGCCAACCTCTAAAGATAAAAATTCAGAAGATTTCTCCAAAATTCAGAAGAACACGAAGAATTAATATCATGCTTTGATATTAAAAAAAAAAACAATTTATACAAATAGAAAAAAGAAAATTGTACTTACATTAGTAAATCTCAATTAAGTAGTAACTAAAAAATTTATTAGGAAACATAAAACAAGAACTTAATGTTACACAAAAAAAAAAATTATTGCAATGAATTTAGAGAGAATTTTTGGCTAGCCAAAAATTCTTTGGAAACAATTAGTTTCCTTATAACATTTAGCAATTAAAATGTTTTCTAGAGTTTTTGGTGAAATTGAAGAACGAAACATAGTTTTGTTTTTCTTCACAACACTGAAGACTCTCTCACATTCAGCATTACTGTGTGGAATTACGAGAATAGCACATAAAACTCTTGCTAGTCTATCATATTTTGGAGTTCCATCAGCTCTTTTTATTCTTTTTAAGGTACCAACGAGGACATCAAGTCTATCTTCTCCAGAACTGGCAAAGTCTTCAAACTGTGCAGCAGAAAATTGGTTCTGTAGTTCATTTAAAGCATCATTATGACATTCATTTTCTTTAATTGTTAACAAAAATGGAAATTTATCAATAAAAAAACGAATCTTTTCAAAAGATGAATTTTCAATTTGTTTCAAATTTGCCACTTCAGCATTAAAAGAACTTCATTTTGCAAAGGAAACTTCCTTACAAGTAATCACAGGCTGAGGAAAAGTACTTTCTGACACATTGAAAAAATTATTTTTTCTCATGATCTTTCAAAGAATTTACAAGTTCCCTGGTTTGATATTTCTGAGCAATCTTGGAGTCGGGAAACATCCGTCTGAAAAGTTGACCGGCGCAGCGCTTAGCGGCACGTTGTGTTCGATGAGGAATGCAGTAAACAAACACTCTGCCAAAATAACATCGGCATCCGAATTCATAGCCGAATTTGAAAAAAAAAAAAAAAAAAAAAAAAAAAAAAAAAAAACACTTTCTTTGATGTTGTCGAAGCAGAAGCATTAACTTCATGCTTTTTAGACTTAACATGCTTCACAATGTTGCTTCTTCCACCGTGACTCATTATGAAGTCACACACGCACACATTGCGAAATGCAGTTATTTCCTTTGAAGGATTCTTTAATTGTTTGGCTTTGTAGGCAGCCGAAAATATTGAGAATATGGTTTTTTTGAACTCATTTCGTAACAACAATGTATTAAGAAAATTTGTAGCACGTGGGAAAAAAAAAAAAAAAAAAAAAAAAAAAAAAAAAAAAAACAACAAAAACAGAATGCGACAATCCACGCTTGCTGAATCCGAGCTGAGTAATTCCACAAGTTCAGCGCATTGGATTGGCTGGTTTAGCGGAGAGTTGGGAGAAACCGCAGGTTACTGGATTCGAAGTAGTCGGTAGTTGGCAGTAAATCACGATGCAATTGGCGAAAAATTTTAAAATTTCGACAAAAATCACTAAAAATACTTGAAAAAGGAAAAAAATCGTAAAATCATAAAGACAAACGCATTTTCGTAAAAATTACGAAAAATTCATAAAAGTTGGCAGGTATGTATATATATAACCCCCAAAGCATTATTATTACTATAATAGGAGTTTTCTCCACAGAAGACAGATTAGAATCTGCCCAATCTAGATTTAAAAATGTCTCCTTTGCCAGCTAAACAAAAGCAAGAAGTCCGTTTACTGATATTTTAAATTAAATTGAGGTATTTTATATTTATTTAGCAGCATACATAAGCAAAAAAATATCTGCATTAAATTTCATCATAGTGTGTAACCATACTGCTAGAATTAGTCTCAGAATGTTACGCCAGACAAAATTGCCTGAAATTCGAAAATACTATTAATTAATAATAAATATATTTACAAGGAAGAAGCCACATTAAATGGTACAAATAACATTAAAATACAGTTAATTACATAAAAATTTTATTACAACAATCAACGATATTTTAGCAAATATAATTTAATTAAATGGTTATCCTAGATGATTGCTTACTATTTTTTTTTATTTTACTGCAAAATCACAAATAAGGCATTTATTAAAAAGAAAAAAAAATATTAAAAATATTTTGTGGTAAAATCCTAGTATGTGCTTACAGTCTTAGCATAATTTTCAAAATTCTTGCCAACACCAAAATGATCCGTTTACTACTCATCATCATGTCACCAAATCCCGTGTGTATGGTATACTAACCGATTTGAATCTCTCGATTCTCAAGGTTATTAGAAACCAAAGTTGCTGGAAACTTGCTTTACCTTTCTAAAAAAGACAATCTGATTGGAGCTGCGAAGAATGGCTCTACGTCAGTTGCCCAACCTTTGAACATTTTATTTAATAAATTCTGATGCTAAAAAAAATGTCTCAATTTTCTTCCTTACCCTTTAAAAGCATAAACAAAATGGAAAATAAAATGACACTTTATACAACCTGCCTTCAACTACATATAACTGGAAAGCGTTTACATAGACCTTTACAAATTGTTTAAAATAGTTTTAAGAAGCTTCAGGAATAACATTTCAATAGCAATGACCAACCTCTCCACTGATGAGAAGACAATAAGGAAGGTGAATATGAAGCAATAAAAAAGGCTCATCAAACACTGAATGGGCATTTTAATGTGAAGCAAATAAAACAGAAATAAATAAAATGTGATACTGATTTGTAAAATAAAGCTGAGCACAAGGAAGTACATGAAAAACATGAGTAAATCAGTTATGCTAGTAGTGTTAATGCTGTCAGGTTTTAGTTTTGCCCAAATATAAAATCATCAGTATAATAAAAAACTGCAGTGTGATATACACATTATACATATAAACATTTATATTAAATAACTTACCCTACCACAGGTCAAACACTGTACAGAACTTAAAATCTTCCCATCAAATATATCTGATATAATGCTTCGATAGTACACAGGCTTCCGTCTTTTAATAAGGGAATTCAAAGCTGAATGATGAACCCAACGTGTAGTCAATCCACTTTGCACAGACATTGTTTCAAGATCAATATCTTGAATCTCAGCATTTAAAATCTCAGTTTCAGATCTGGTTAGATACACACCTTCTTTTATATATGCCTTATTTTCATCACCTTTTTTTTCAGAAATATCACTTGGTGTTGGCACGTCGCCTACAATTTCTTTCTGACTGCTTAAGTCTTGATCAGATGATGTAGCGACTACTATTTTATGAATAGAACGAGATGACTTTTCCTTTCTTCGTATAGATGGATGAACTAATGCATGGATTGTTTCATCTGGTGATAACATCTTGCGTAATGGTTTTGGTGAATCAACAGCTTCATCGGAGCCAGAGCTCTTTTCACTCAAAGCAGAGTCGCAGGTTTCATAATCATCTTCGGAATTACTAGAATCTTCTGATACTGGAATGTCAGAATCTCCACGATTATCATTAAATTCCCTATGACTATCAGGAGATGATGGAGAGCTATCTGGCATTTCAAAAACAGGGTACTTTAGTTCTTCGTGTAACTGATCCATAAAGCATCGTAAGAACTCCTGGGCATCCTAATTAAAAAATAAAAAACATCTTTAGAAAATGAATCTTACAACAATAATGAAAAATCAATTAAATTACAAAAGAAGTAATAAAAAGAGGAAAATTTATCAACTCACTTGTTGAGCATATCCTCTGAAAACAGGACATACAACTTTCATGCCATATGCTATGCCAGTAGGAACAACATAACTAGGCCTGCAAAAATAAAGACTTAAAAAATAAATCCAATAAAATTCATTAAATTTATACAAAAAAAAAAAAAAAAAAATGTAGTTTCTGATAATTCACACCCCTGCCAGAAAAAAACTCTCTGGTGACTCATTTTTCGCCAGGTTAATGCAGGAAAGGCAACAGCTATTTTCGAAATGGGGGTGGGGGAAAAAATGTAGTTTCTGATAATTTACACCCCTGCTGGAAATCACAAACTCGTTGGTGACTCATTTTCTGCCAGGTTAATGCAGGAAAGGCAACAGCTTTTTTTGAAATGGAGGCACCCCACTAAGAATTCCATACAAAAACAATCAATCAATAAAATTAAAAAAGTCAGAAGCACCAGGAATAAAAACACTTACCTTTTTTTAGAAATTTTTTTTTGGTTTGTTTGTGTGTGTGTTATTGTTTTCCTTACAATATATATAATATATGTATACAAAGATCTGTTTCTGCTAAAAAAAATAATGTAATTGCATCAAATCCGTATCCACACAACTCTGGCTAATACGGCCATGTGCTACATGCATATCTAGGTTACATAAATGCTTTCTGGTGACACTGCAGGTTGCCACATAATTATTTTGGTGATATACTGAATTGCTTCATGAATACTTTTTCATGATTTTTTTTCAGTAGGTATGCAGATAATTAGGCCCGGTGGCGCAGGGGCTGGTGAATTGCGCAGCAGCACCACAGGTCCGGGGTTCGATTCCCAGTCTGGGCAAGGTTGACTCAGCTTTTCATACCTGGATTTCCATCACTTGGGTCGATAAAATGAGTACCAAGTTTGCTTGGGGACTAAACACTGGGGGTCCTGCAACAAGTTGACCACTTGTTTAGGGCATATGTTTACGCACTCCGGGGCCAATGGTCAAGAAAGCAGATTTCGGGCACTGCAAGCCTTGGCCCATTAGGGCTGTTATGTTACTGAGCTTTAGTTTTATGCAGATAATTAGAAAGTACCCCAAAATTTCATAAAGGGTCAGCCAAACATTTTTTTATATAAATGGGGTTAACTTACCTTACAAAACTGTTTTATTTAACAGAACAAACATATCTCGTGAATTCTTTAAAAAAAAAAAAAAATATCACTGAAATATCATACTCAGTTGAAAGAGTATGAAGGTTTTGAAGAACATAGCAACACATAGCATGCTGAATTGTGGCTACTTCATCATGAACATTTAACTCAATTGTTGTCAGGCTATTTCCTACATACACCCCTTTTATGATACCCCCATGAAAAACGTTAATGGAGAAAGATCTGGACTCCTAAGAAGCTAACAGATGTAACCTCTAGCAGAAACCAATTTATTAAAGAACGTTCCTTTAACCACAGGTATGGACATATTTTGAGGTACAGCATCTAGTATCAGCCTGATGCATCAAGGGCCTCTCATTAGATCTTTAAAGCAACTGAGATTGTTTCATTACCAGAATTCTAGTATATACATGAAATTTGTACATACAAGATATTCAACATGTCACACATAATTTATGGTGCAATTTTTTACATTTGACATTTTTCATAAGCAGGAAAAATAAAATAAACAATTCTGATTCAGGTTCTGAAAATACAACAAATCAGTTGTAGAGGCATCCTTTAATTCTGACATTTAACTTATACCTTAATCCCACATAGGCATTACTAAAAATTGGAAGCATTTTAGATTTGCACTTCTTTAATTACTAAATACTTTGAATTAATAATTCTTTCTAAATTACTTATTTAAATCAATATAATATTGTTATTAAAAATATTTCTTTCCTGTCTGTAGATCAAGCAGTGTTTATTAGAATTGAAAGATTTTAGTAACAATTATTCACATTTAACATTTCTTTCTTTCAAATATTAAATTTTTAAGATAAATTTCACTTATGAAATAAATAATGAAATAAATAACAGAAGACATTAAGGAAATAGAAAACAAATACCAACCTCTTCTCGTGCCACATTTCTTTTATAAGCCTCATGTAACTCCTGGCTAAACCAGGTTTCTTATCAGAAGGAATATATGCTTCACAATACAAAAAAAATTGAGTAAGCGGAGGACTGAAAGAAAATAACATAATTTGTTGATAAATATTAAAGGAAACATTAAAATGGATTTATTTTACTAAAAACCAGCAAAAAAAGCAAACTAGTTTCTTAAATTATTAAAAAATTACAGAACTTTTTTATTTCTAAATTAAATAAGATTTTTACACATTTTGCACACACTATTACATTTTACACATACATACACTATTACACTACTTACCAATTTGAGAGTGCCTGGAGAGCTGAGTTCATATAGCAAGTATTGCCCAAATTCTGTAAACCAGTTAAGCCTAAAAAATCAGATTGAAACAAAGTTAATTCTATGTTGAGCATAAATAGAGTATTTTTATATATTTGAACTTTAACTATTTCCTCAGATATACACTAATAATATAGTACTGGTTCTCAAACTTTACAAAGATCACGCCCAGGTTCGGAACAAGGATTTAAGCAAAGGCAGCATTTGCCTCACCTAAACAATTAAAAGGATTTCCAGTTAGCTATGGAAATTTAGAAATTCATGTTACAAAAATTAATTATGATAATTTTCAACTTTGGAAATCATCAAGAAGAATCAAAAGAAATATGCCACAAATAAATCCAGAAGAGAAGAATTTAGTTAAAAAACTGCTGAGGTTTTGCAGTACCATACATACTGTTCTCTACTTTAAAATTGATTGTTGAAACTAATGTATTGAACTTAATTTGCGGACATACTAATGCACTGAATTGCGTAAATTAAACTATTATAGAAAACACCATTCTGCTGACATTAGTATTTTTTTTTAAATTCGAACTAGAATTCTTACTGCTCCATAATAGGTTTTTCAAAGTTAACTACCAGAGCATCGACAACAACACAAATGCCTACAGTTTCTTGAATAGTTCATAATGCATTTGTGGACTAAGCCAAGGATGTTTGAATGCTGGATGTTAGAAATGTAATGCATTATCAATCTTTTGCTTCATTTTAAACGTAAAATTTTTCATTGAATGAGGAATACATCTCACACTTCACAAACACACACAAAAATCTCATGTGTACACCACATTACTTCCTTGTATGGAATATTAAATTTACACTTAATTTTCCTGTATTTCATTTACACTTATTGAATTAAATCTACTTCGTCAATAGCGCATAAACCAAAATAGAATAAATGCACTCTTTAAAATTCACTATACTTATTTACCATGGCGACACTCTGGCACTAGGTTCACTTAACAGCGTTACATCTCATTCATTTTCATAATTCAGAATGCACAAAAATTGTCATCTGAAGAATTATCTAATCATTGCCATATGTTCTATTCAAATCTATTTTTCATTCAATTAACTCAGTTCTTACTTTGAGGAAGGCAAAAATGCACAAAAACTCAAAATGCTTTTATTAAAAATTGAAAGATACAGAAAAACATAAAACACCAAGTACAGTTAACAATTAAAATTACTGTTTCTACTCAAAACAAAGCAATATGGCCAGCAGGCAAAATTGCAGATTTTTTGGTGCACAAAATTGAAAGTTTACTTTTGGCCTCGCTTGGCAAAAAGACACTGGAGTCGTAGAAACCAACTTAATCCGCAATAATAAAAAGAAGGTATTACCTTTGTTGTTGCGAAGCTTAGTTTCTCTAGATTGGCAACAAATCCACTATTCTGCTAAGTTTCAAATGTAAACAAATATGGCTGCTATGGTAAAAATAATTAGGTTTAGCTATACTTAAACAACTTTTAAATTGTTGATAATTCTAAAAATATTGCATGCAAATTTACTAAAGGCATATAAACCTGAACCGAAAGGTAAGAACAACATAAATCAATGATTTTTAAAGCAAGAAATGTGCGATTTATTAACCTATAAGAATAAAAAAAAAACTGAGCTCACTGAGCCGAGTCACAAATTGAGTATATATATATATATATTTATATACTTCCAGTGTGGCCGATTGCAACCAAAAAGAGAGGTGCACATCTACACGTCATAGCAATCCTATACATAAAATTTCAACGTTCTGGGGCTACCTCATTTTTGAGTTATGTGAGATACATACATATGTACAGACGCTATGAAAAAAAATCTTTTCTGAATCCATTTTAAATCGGTTTTATAATTCATTTGGAGAAACTTTATTTCGTCCTTATACATATTTCACGCAAAAACAGCATTAACTTGCATTCGATAGCAGTAAAAATGGATATTTTCATTGAAATATGGTACCCGGAATTTTTCGTGATTACAATACTTCCTTCACTTCGTACAAGGAAGTAAAAAAGAGGAGTAAGTAGAGGACTGAAAGCAATGAATATAAGTTGTTGATAAATGGCAAAGTTTCGTAAAGAAGTTTCATCTCATATTCATATTTAATATGCACCACAGCTGTACAACTAGCAATGCAACTCAAGTGATTGCAGACACACTCAATCTGTGACAAATCTAGGAACGTGGGTAGCCAGAAAAGGGTGGTAATGTGACTAAGGCATTTCAGCGATACTCTTGCTATGCATGGGCGAGCACTGTCCTGTTACATCTCCTGGAAGCCCTGCCATCAAAGACAGTTTGTGATGCTTTTCAACTGTGTTCCCATACTGCATGGGAACATATGGGGCTGAAAAATATCACAAAGGTACTGCTGGTCTGTCATGGAGCCTTGGATCAATATTAGAGGCTAGATGGTATCCTATGCGACGGCATCCCATACCATAACACCAGCTACTGGAGCACTGCACTGCTAAAAAAAAAGACAGGATTGAAGTGTTTATCGAGCACAACACTCCAGTCAGTGGTGACAATGGGTGAATGTTATTGGCAGCAAACCTAACAGTTACAATAATACCATATATCCTTTAGCCAGATACATCACAACAGAATGGACAAATAGAGGTTGTCATAAAAATTACTGCCTGTGTCTGGACGGCAGACAATGATGCAGTTGCTGTTATAAGTGCATGTTGGATAATGTGAGGGTTCTCAAGTCATGGACATACGAAGCCTGGTGGCTATGCATGTGACCTCTCCTTTGTTCACTTGTCCCAACACATCTTCACAGAAAAGGCTTAATGTGCGAAGTTACTTGCCAAGCTGACTACTGATTCCTATCATCATGCTGATTCTTCCCTCTCAAGTTCAGTGAGCTGATCATATTGTCTTTCATAGCAGTCTAACAGCATCTGTAGAGCAAAAAGCTACCCCTCTGCAAAAGATTAAGTACAGGCAAAATGCCTCAATGTATATTTTTTACATACCAGGGAGAATGAAATTCAATACCCTGTGGTGGCATTACACAATAATGCTGTAATCAGGTGCATATGAAACATGCACCTTCAAGCTGCATATGAAACTAACATGCACCTTCAAGCCATGTTTTGTTACAGTTTGACAATTATTTATGGCAATATTACTCACAGATACCAATGCTCTACAAAAGAAAGAAAACACTGTTTAAGCTTCTTTATGCTGTATTAAAATTTAATATAATTCAATTGTTTTCATAGTCACAGAAAAACAATCAGTTACAATTTGTCATGTACAAACCAAATGTTAGGACTAATACAAAAGATACCAAATGCTAAATGCACAATATGAAGTAAAGGGATGTGTTTTATGCGATTCAGGATAATCAAGAAAAATTGCTTGTTTTATTTTCCTAAGAGTACACTAATTCATAATCTCCTATTAATCAATTACTTTTATGTTTCTGCTGTATCGATCATGTGTTGACAACACAGTTGGATTTTAAACTCAAACATATTTATGTTACGCATGCTTCTTATGACTATTGAATCAAATATTATGGATATATGTAATACAGTCAAAAGTCGTTAATTCGGAATGATCTATAATCCGGACATCAAAACTAAAAACTTTCTGCGCATGCGCCGCGTTGACACATGCGCGTAAGACTCTTTACGACTGCGCATATGAGTGTGCGCAAGTGCAGAATACGTTTTCGCGTGCGCATTTTATGTATAATGGACGTATAAGCTAAATAATTATCTATTTCAGTTAATGTTGATGATTGCGTTGTTCCTTAATTTTCGAATTGCATCCGGCTTATTATTTTTTGCAGACTGTAAGAGCAATTTTATAAAAGTAAGCTTAAACTTTCGATTATATCAAATAGAATTTCCGATATATATTTGTTAATATGTAAAGGATCTAAAGCGAAAGTATGTTTTGAAATCCGAAATCTGTTTATCATTTTCACGCTGCTCGGCGGCGGGCGCGTAATGAATTGGAAGTTGATTTGTCAGCACTATCCTTATCTTCAGCGCAGATGTTTTTATTTTATTTGGCTTATAATTCCTTACCAAATGTAGTATTTCATCTCGATACGCTCCGTCTTTGATATGATTTAAAACAAGTTCCTCGTCATTATAATTCGCTTCCGATAGCGAAGAAAAGTGACAGAGGTTATTGAAAACAAAAAAATTTCGATTGACAAATTAGTCGGTGTTCTTGACACAGCAATTATAGGACTTGAACGGCGGAACTTTGTAACTGAACAAGAAATTATGTCCGTTTAATAGAATTAAAGAGAAAGTATTATCACATGAAACGAAGCAAAACTTAAACAACTTACATTGAAAGAAATGTTTAATAAAGTAAACAAATAAATATTAAGCTTTTTCTTTTTGCAAATTTTGATACCCTTTAGATCATAATTGTTCTTTATTTCATAAATTACGGTTTCATATTTTTAATTTTGGAATTTCTGCATGCCATCTTACGAGATTTAAACTGATGATCTATAATCTGGAATAATCGATAATCCGGAATCGCTGAAGTCCCGACGAGTCCGGATTAACGACTTTTGACTGTATTATGCTGCGGCTGCACTGGCTTATGTGACTGACATATTTTTCCTAAGATTATTATTATTTTTTTTAAGACAGGACATGGAAAAATATTACAATAGCTACTTATAAGTGTTTGCTATCATATCTACTTACATTTGTTTACTAGTATAGCTATTTGTTAACACGACAGTCTGTGTCTTAAACACAAACTTAATATCCATTCCAACCTACATGAGATGGGAAAAGAATGAAAAAAGTTTCACTATGGCCTATATCACAGAAAACAAAACACATTTTAAATGGAATAAATTATTCAAGTTCAAGTAATACTTCTACCTCTTGGCTTGAAATTTTCATCAGGTTCTGCTGCTTCCTCATCAGAATCATATGAAGCTATTACCATAGGTGGTGATTCAATTAGTCCAGGCACTGGAGGATCATTATTTTCCAAATAAACTTCGTTTTCGCATAATAAGCAAATCACATGCAGGAAAGTTAAATGCAGAAATAAGCAATGCTCAATATTCCTCTAAATGAGATAGAAAGTAAATAAATCATACAAATCACATAATCCAGCACAGAGATTTCAAGTTAATAAAAAAAAATGCAAAAAATATAAAATACCTCAAAATGTTTCATGCAGTGATTATCAAAGGTACTATCATTGCATCCAACAAACAAGCAATCATGATGGAGACAAACCCATAAGGTAGGACCTTCCACCTTACAAGTTTCACAGCAGGACTGTTAAATGAAAAGATATACAAGATTAAATAAGAGATATAAGAAATAAGATAAGCAGAATATAATTTAACAGCTATATGTTTCACATAAATAGAAAATTAGTTTAATAATATAGAGAAAACAATTCAGAAAATGAATTCATAAACCATTTTCATAAAGCAATGAGTGTATAATTTGAGAATATTTTTAAAAATGTTTTATTTTGTTAGTGGTATAGGAGGATTGTTTATATTTATTAAAAGAAATTTTATTGTTCAGTAACACTAGCATCAAACACCAACATGCACTGATAAATCCATATTGGGAGAAAACATTCATATAAAACTTTTGTCACATTCCATGTCAACATATGCAGTATCTCATCTTTAAGCCGTAAGTTAACTGCAGGTATGCATAGCAGAAGCCCTCTCATTCATAACATCAGACAAGCTTTGCTAGCATTAAAACTGAATAACAAGCTCCATCTGTATTAGATTCCTGCCTACACTGGTATACAAAATGAATAAGCAGATGACCTTGAAAAGCAAACTGCCATTGAAGTAACTATAACAAAACAACCAACACTACTCCCACTATGTTATCTCAAGTACACTATAAATCTGCACCTTTTGAATAAATAGCAGGAGCAGTACTTATCTGGGATCACAAGTAGATGTGTCTTTCTGTCCTGTTCGAAAATAAAAATGAAGCTTAATAGCAACAGCCCATCGCTGATACACTTCCTAATGGGCCCTTTCTCAGCCATTTTAAGCAGTTCCAGATGAAAACCTCAGCCCAATGCCTATGCACAGAGGACGGCACTTATGATCTATTATCTATTTGCTTACATCAATACAAATGAACAGAATACTGCAAAACCCAATTCTTCAAATTGGGCAGCATAGGCAGAAAACACATAGTCCTTATGTTCTCACAAAACTGTGCCATACTTTAAATTACTGTGCTCTAACAAACGATTCCACCCCTAAAAGAGCAACTTTACATTCCAGGAGATAGACTAATGCGTCAAACATATACATAACTATATATGATCCCACATATTTTGCTGGGTTGGTAACCATTGTCAGAACAAGGACACTTTCCAGTGGTATTCTGCTCCATCACATTCTAAATATTCTGATATTTATAATACACACCCCAGAAACGTATGTTATTGATTTGTGTAAATATGTCAAATAATGTAGAAACATTTTAATACACCCTTAATCTTTACTTACTTATACATATAATCTTTACATACTTAATGCATGATCAAAATTACTATTTTATAGAACATAATAATATATCACAGGTTTTAAATCAAATGCCAGTCAAGATGGAAAAAATTAAATGGTTGCACAGCTGCTTTTGGTTCTTAAAAAGTCAACTGACCAAAATTTCCTTGGCCAAAAATACATGGCCCCCCCCCCACAGAAATTCAGCATTTAATTTCTCTAACCAAACGTAATGCATTGTTTATCAAATTAAGTGTGAGTAACTCAATATTTTATGCATTTATCACAAAATACAAGATAATTAACTAAGAACAATATGAAAATCTAATTTATCTCGCTAAAAAATATACATTGCCAATCAGAAGTAACACTGTTTTTAGGTAGATTAGTAAAAAGCAGGGTGTAAAAAAAACATAATTTAAAAAATTGATTTACTGTCATTAAAACCAGAAATTTTGTTTCTACATTAATTTATTAAATGGTTGCTAAGCACTGAAGGTTTTCAAGGTAAAACCTCTAATTAGGTATTAAGAATCAATACATATTTTTGAAAGTATATTAATACAGTACAAAGTCCGAAATCCGGACGTCCATTACCCGGATTGATCTAAAATCCAGACCTCAAAACCACCAACAAAGTTAGGCTTGCATGCTCATAGGCTGTACGGATGTGCATTTGATTCCCCACCCCTCCGTGCATAATAAAACATCCGAAGAATCCCGATTCTTAATTTCACTTCGACACTAAATAAAATACCTTGTTATCGAAGAAACAACCTGGAGAGTCCTGGTTCTTAATTTCACTTTAACGCTAAACAAAATACCTTGTTATTGAAGAAATAATCTGGAGAGTCCCGATTCTTAATTTCACTTCAACACTAAATAAAATACCTTGTTATTGAAGAAACAATCATTCATAAATTTGTACGATCAGTAATTCGGCTTCGTTGCTGCATATCTGCTTGGCACACATCTCAAACCGAAACATTCCACATAGATACATCATTGATCTGACGCCAACCTGGCAAATCATTATTTATTATACTTTCCTATCATCACCGCATGTTTATCAACACATGACAACTTGGTGTGGTGTGGTATATTTAATTATGGCAAAGCACACTAGGGCTATCTGCCTAAGGGAAGGAATGCCTTCATGGAGGACTTTCTAAAGGAAACTGGATCGTATACACATTACACATGGGGAAAACCACGAAAACACCCATGCAGCCAACCCGTTCGCGGGATCCGAACCTCGGACCGAACTACCAGTGTTCAGAGACTTTACCGCTCGGCCGTTGGTGGACCTCATTACAACTTGAGTAATGACTCACGTAATGATGCCTAAACAATTTTTTTACATTAGTAGTTGAATAACAAAGGAGTACGGTAACCTATCATGCTGACATTACGCTTGGCAATGATTACAGATTTGAGTTAAATGCGCTAAAAAATATTGACGAGGAAAAATTAAGCAAGAATTTCTTTCCATATGCTAAAAATAGATTTTGTTTATGATACTTATAGACCCAAAGATTACATTTAGGGCTATTTGAATTCAGAATAACTCATTTGTTATTCACATGAACACAGAACAAGCACCAAGAATCTTTGAAATAGGAAATTTTTGAAAAAGAAAATGACAATAGTAATGCTGGAAAGAGTATTTTAGAAATAGAGCATTGAAAGTGATCTTGATGATCATTTGCGAAATTTATTTAAGTATAACATTGATAAATCAGATTTTTAAGATTTTGTATAAATAAATGTAGTTTATTTTAATTATAAAACTGTGCGATTATTTAAGTTACATATTCCTTTTTCATAACATGGTTATTTATGGTGATCAGCAAAGTTTACCTAACTTGTAAAACTAACATCTATTGGAAATCAGGACAGTTCATTTTGGCAAGTTCAAGGTAAGTTTTTTTTTATTTCTAGTTATCTTATAAATGTTATGAATGATGATTACACAAGTATTAAAAGGAACTGCTGAATAAATGAATAATAAATGCAATGTTTAGAATGCTTTGTTGCAGCATATGACGTACAGCTTATATGATGAACTTAATCTTTTTCCCCCATTCAAGTATCGTGTATATGGGAGGGTGCATTATTTACCGGATATTACAGTATATATACTGAAAATGAAATGCTAACAGTATCATAAGAATTGGATTAGATTTGTCTCTACGTCGACGCCACACAAACAGCAGCGTGACTCATTTGAGAACACGACGTTTCGCCATTCTGTCATCCACATCGCTCCAGTTCGGCACCATTCTAAACGTTGGCGTCTATGCTATGGGGTCAATGGCAGTCTTCTTAACAGACGCCATGAGTGCAGGCCACGTTCAGCCAATTGACGGGAAATGGTTCTGGTCGACACAGGAACATCCAGGGTATCTTATTCATGCTGCAGAATCGCTGTACAAATAACTTGCAGGACCCCCCCAGCTTGTCAGCGGAAGTGTCGATCTACGCGTGCTGACGTTCCTTTGGCTGTACCTGCACCCCTCCTTCTTTCAACATTTCCTTGTTCCTGCCATGTTTGCCATAGCCGATGCACCGTGCTCGCATCCATGTGGGTATCAGCTGCAATTTGACGTAAGGACCAACCCGCCCTTCTCAGTCCGATCACCATACCCCTCGTAAAATCGTCTATCTGGCTGGAAGTGCCTTCATTGATGGCAGCCTGGCATTCTCTCCTATTACACGTATCCTCCGGGACAAAAACCAACTTTCTTTGATAATTCGTCTGGCAGAAATAACGACATGAATATTGCCCATTCTGCACGTTCCTTTCCTTATATCTTACTTCACGTACGTCAGAGAGCTGCACATTTCACATCATTCGCATAACTCAGTGACGTGCATCTACTCTAAAATTTGCATAAATTTCTGACTACTCCTTCTTGGTGTTACATTATCAATGTTGTTCTTATAAAATATAACTTTTCATAATATCTGTTAAAAATGTATAAATTTTCATTTCATTTTTCATTAATTTTATTATTTTTCCTCTTTCATTCCTTCTCTCTCTCGTTTTCGGTTTAGCTACATGGCAATAGGAAAACATTTTGGAGCCCATTTTTCTGAATAAAGTTTTTGCCTAAAAAGGCAATTTTCATTGGAAGAGACTCGTTATATGTTACATAAAACGGTCACCCTGTTTCTGTTAGGCTCAGCAGAGGCCGAGCTTTAAAGTCATGAATCCTGACGGTTCGGTTCGAATTTCGAATTCCGCGAACAGACAGGCTGCATGGGTATTTTCGTGGTTTTCCCCATGTGTAACATGTATATGAGCCAGTTTTCATTGGAAAGTCCTCTACGATGGCATCCCTCCCTTTGGCTTAGTCATAATTACATAAACAAAACCTACTTCTGTTAGGTGGCTGAAAACTTGGTTTGTAGACCTCTCCTTCTGCAGCTTCAGTTATGAATACAAAAAAACTTAAAGAATATTTTACTTCTAAATTAAACATTATGCACCAATTTAGTGCTGTAAACATTAACCTAAGTAAGTATTTTAAGCGAGAAGCGTGGCCAATAAAAGGTTACAGAATTTCTATCTCAAGAATGGTGACATGAACTGCAAATTATAATCACAAATAATTTATACCTTTGCTTGCTTTAAAAATTCTCTTTTTTTAATTGTTTTTAATAACAAAATAAAGTATATTTTCTAAACTAACCCTCATCAATGTATGTTTCTATAAAAAAGTATAATTCAAGAATAACAATAATTTTTATTGCAGTTTTCAGATTTTTCATGGCAGAGAAAGG